GCAGCAGTAGTTGTCAATATTATTGAAATGGAACTCGCTTTCGCTTCTTCTTCTTCTTCTGCTTTGTATGTCATCATTTTTATTTTCATTTATTCTATTATTAGAATAGTGAGGATGAACGGTGCTGGCGAGAGATAGAGAATGAGAGAGAGAATGGAAGTCCAGTCTTTATCAAGCATCACTGGAGGCGGCTGATGCTGCCGCCGCCAGCATTAAGCCTACATGAAAAATTGTCACTCGCTCCTGCTCTGCCCCTGCCTCTGAGCTGTCGATGCTCAATTTATTAGACTTTGAAGACTCGGAGAGAGGTGTAGTCCCTTCGCTGCTGCTGTCTTGTCCCTACTAAGTAGGCAGTTGAGAGAAAGTGAGCGATGGACTGTCAGTGGTACTGGTGGTGGTAGTGCACTACACTAGTGCCTGCATTATCATATACCACATCGATATTTGCCTGGCACTCTCTCACTTCTTCCTGTCTCTCTTTAAAGTTTTAGTCAAATCACAGGCTTTCTTTCTCGATTTTCAGCTCGCTTTTTGCTGGTTTACAACTGGAGAATTAGCACCGGACGCTTATCGCTGGTGGCCAGCAGTGCACTCTTCTTGTTCGAGCTGTGCTGAGCTGAGTTGCTGCTGGATCAGCTGCCTCCTTGCTTGGCCATCGCTCCAAATTTGGCTGCTTCAGAAGCTCACTTGCTCATTCCGACTCACTCTCTCTCCACCGAATCCGCTTTCACCCGTAATCGGGTAATTTTTTGGTCATTTATTTTGGTGGTGGGCTGCTGCTGTTGCTGCTGCTGCTGCCGCTTCCGCGAACACTCGGGCCTGACCGCCTGACTGTTTGGAGCCCGCCTGACTATTCTGGGCCTGGCATGCATTTGGTTTTGTTAGCATGTTCCCCACGATTGGCCGCGGTGGTCTCCCTCTCTTTCTTTTCTCTGTTTTTTCGGTGTATCTTTTCCTTTCTCGTGTTGTCGGTCACTTTCATTCCCTTTATCTCTCTCCCACTTTCTAGTCTGGAGAGTATTTGCCTGCCTGCCTGGCTGACTGCCTAAATGTGTTTACATTAAGCAAATAATGCCGAATGATTAATAATTTTTGAATGCAAGTCCAATGCGAGTGTGTGTGCCTGTGTGCTGCAGTTTACATTGAAATTAATGACTCTTTCTCTTTCTTTCCCTCTTATCCAGTGTTGCTGCTGTCCACTGTACTCCTTCCTTCCTTGCCAGGGAAGCAGTCAGTCAGTCAATTTATTCACTCGGGCCCCACCAGAGTGGCTCTGCTGCTGCTGCTAATGCAAGTCCGATGAGCGCGTTGGTGCAGTTCCTGCAAGAAGAAGATGGAGAAGAGGGCGCAGAAAGTCGTCGTCGTCGTCGTCGTTCTCGGCCAGATTGAATCAATTTGCTCACTGCTGCCGCTACTGCTGCTGGACAGGCCCCGCCGAACATGGCCGGCCAAAGTTTGATTACCAATTAATTAATCGATTAGTGGACGCATTTACAGATCGATCCATTTGCGGCGGCCACCACTACCACTACCACTACTACCACTGCTGATGATGATGATGGTAAGTAGATGTGTGTGTGTGTGTGTGTGTGTTTTCGGTTCTGTTTTGCTTTCTTTCTTTCTTTCTTTCTCAATGTTTGCGATGTTTTGCCAGTCAAATCGCACTCGGCCCGCTTTGCTTCTGAAGGCTGCTTTTGGCTACTGTTTTACTAGGGTGGAAAGTTTCTCGATTCGGGTTGAAGCCTATTTTTGCTGCTGCTGCTGCTGCTGCTGCTGCTATTGCAAATTGCTTCTGTGTTTCTGTGTTTTTCTCCTACTTATTCCTGGTGATCGATTTACATAAACATCGCCGGTCGATTGGTCGCCGGCTGATGCTGCTGATTTGGCTGCTGCTGCTGTTTGGTGACATGATGCACCCACACATGTGGACACATGGACACACTGACTGCTCCAGTGGACACACGTTCATTAGCTGGTCAATAAGTTCTTGGCGCTTTTCCTTGCTTGCTCTGTCTCTAATTAGATTGCCACTACTGCAGCAGCAGTAGCCGCGCCTGCAAGACTGTCAGGCTGATTGCTTGAATGGCGGGCAACTTTGCCTTCTGCTCCTTCTGCTGCAGAGACGAATGGACGAGATTATTATTAGCAGCAGCAGTAGAAGGAAAAGTATTAATATTGATGATTGATGCAGCAACACTAAATGCTAATCGATAAAAGGGTTAACTTGCCTGCCAGTGCCCATCAGTCAGAGTGGTAGAGCACTGCTCTGCTTTCTGTGCACACTTTGGTGCCTTCGGCCTTTGCACACAGCACCATCAGCAACCCCTTTTCCTTATTACGACTTATGAATCTTGGCTTGGTGCCGTCCATCTTGCCCAGCTGCCATGCTTTTTCCCCCTTTCTTTCTGCTGTTCAGGGGCCATATATTCACTAATTACTATAGTCGCCATCTTTCCTTTCTCCTTTCTCCATTTGTTTGTCTTGCACAGTCTCTTGATCGACAGTGCACCAATGCTCGTGGCCAAATGAGCCAAATGGGCACAATGTGTGTGTGCCCTGCACTGAATTCATTGCAGAACTGTGTGTGTGTGTGCCCACGGCGCCCAGGGCAAGCAGCAATGGCACCAGACAGTCAGTCAGTCAGTCATTGCAGTTCAATTCTTTCCTTTCCTTTCAGTCTCTGTTTTGTAATATCTCGGTCCATCTCTGCTGCTGATGGCAATCTTAATTGCCGCACACACTGATTTGCCTGCCATTGCTGCTGCTGCTGCTGCTGCTGCTGCTCTGGTTCAGATTCAACTTCTGACCAGCAGTCCCGTCCAGACCAACCAGGCAATCACTATCGGCCAAATTAGCATCTATTTGCTGAAGCTATTATTATTATTGCTGCTGCTGCTGATGCTGCTGATGCTGCCTTTGTAATTTTGTTTGGAAGTTGGGGAACGGCGGCGATGCTTTCTCCGTGATGCTTTCTGGTGGTGCAATCCAGAGACAAAGGCCGCTCTGGGAGGCTTACTGCTGGACGCTGTCTGCTGCAGTTGCTGCCATTTACAACAACTTGCCCGCCGAGTAAGTGTTATGCAGCAGATTGAGAGAAGGGGAAACGGAATGAAGGGTTAAAGGGCATTCAGTGCTTGCTGGGAACGTGTCGGCAGTGGAAGTGGGAAACAGGCAAAGGGTAACAGCAGCAGCAGCAGCAGCAGCAGTAGTGGACGTGTTTGGTGAACTGCACCAAAAGTGTGTGTGTTCACAGTGTGTGAGAGAGTGTCGGTGATGGATGATGAGCCACCATTTGGGCACTCGGACACACAAACTGCTCTGATTGTTCAGCAGCAGACCTGCCGCCAACTGTTTACCCCCTTCCCCTTGCTCTTATTTATTCCCTTTGTCGGAACAGGGACAGAAAGAGTACACCGATGTCGGCGGTAGTAGTGGAAGTAGTAGTGCAACACACTCTGAGCAGAACTCTCTGCACTTTGGAGAACACATTGGCAGTGTAAGGGCAAGGCGCCAGTGGGTACAGTCAATTAGCGAGATTCACTCTCTCTCACTTTACTTTTCCTTTTCCCTTCCTTTCCTTTCCTTTGCGGTTCCTGCTCTTGAGCACAGTTAACAGTTGTGCAGTGGTAACAGTTATTACCTCTGCTGTAGAAGTGCACTAGGTGCAAATGACCACCACCGGCACTTGAACTTTTGATGAGCACCACTACTACTACAACTCTGGAGAGGGATGCCATTTCCATTTCTCTTGACACTTGCAGGCAGCGGCAGGCAGCGGCAATTGGCTCTACGCATTCAATTTCCAGCTCTCTGCAGATGCGCTTCTTCTTCAACCGCTGCTGTTTTGAATTNGAGCACCACTACTACTACAACTCTGGAGAGGGATGCCATTTCCATTTCTCTTGACACTTGCATGGCGGCAGGCAGGCGGCAATTGGCTCTACACATTCAATTTCCAGCTCTCTGCAGATGCGCTTCTTCTTCAACCGCTGCTGTTTTGAATTAAAAAGTGAGCTGCTGCCCAAATGAGCTCCTTTTCTCACTTTGTGGACAGTCTGGCTGTAGCTGTAGATAGCTGTAATGAATTCGATTTGGTGGGCAGTGGCTGCTGCTGCTGCTCTCTGGGACCCAGCTTTGTGTGACAGAAGTTGTTGCTGCTGCTGCCGCTGCCATCGTTTCCTTCGCTTTTGCCCTGTCAAATGCAATTGGGAATAAGTTGAAGCTGCATTTGCTGACTGCTATATAGTCATTAGCATATGGAGAGACTACGAGAGAGAGAGAGTAATACGAGAAAGAGAGTTTTCGGCGATTCCACTGCAGCAGACTGCATTTGGCCATTCGGCCCAGTCATGCATAATTCAAGCTGACAGGCACACTTTCCACTGCTGATGCTGATGATGCTTCGGTTGAACTTTAGAGTCAACACACTGCAGTAGCAGCAGTGTTTTGGCCTGTTTGCATACAGCACCACTGTTTCCACTTCCTCTCTTCTCTCGGGCCCCAGTGGGCCTTCACTTTGACTAGGACTACTTTGCCACTCTGCCGCGCTTTTTGGGCATTTAAATTTTTTAGGCATTCTCCTCTTCTTCGTTTCGAACTTTCGAATTGATGTGCCTGGTGGCATCTGGTGGGAAGAAAAGGGATTCTGATCGGACTCCTCTACTGTGTATCAGTCAAAAGTACATTTTTAGAATGATGGGTTTGGACTTTATTTGGAAAAGTTTTAAAAGTAGAACAAATTTTAAAATTAGCATTTGTTAGTTTATTCTATTGATTTTTGACAAAAGCTCAAAAGAATCCACTTTATTCTTTAGAATTTCCCATTTTCCTAATACGTCCTCTGTGAACGGCCTACAGCTGCATTTTTTGTTGTTGCGTGTTTATTTTTTTCTCGAGTGAAGCGACTTTTTGTCTGAACTTGTGTATTTTTGAAACTTGTGTTGTCACTTCTTCATTCTAATTCTTATCATTGAAGTAGAAGTTAAGCCCCGACCACCATCATGACCACCGCCGCGCGACCCACCTTTGATCCGGCGAAGGGCGGCACGTCCCGCGGCGAGAAGAGCCTCAGTTCGCTCTCCAAGCAGTACTCATCCCGTGATTTGCCCTCCCACCTGAAGCTTAAATACAGGTAAGGCTTTGATATTGTGCTTTAGCCTTTCACACATTCAACAAACCTTTTTACCATTTTGCAGACAAACCGGCCAGGGCACCACTGATGACCTGAAGAGCAAAGACTTTCGACGGGAGCTCGAGGAGCGCGAGCGTCTGGTCGCACTAGAGAAGGACGGAAAACGACCAGCGGCAGCAAACTTAGCAGCAACAGCACAGATAGACAACATTGCAGCCTCTTCTTTAAATAGAGCAGAAGCATCCACTTCATCTTCAGGTGGCGCTGCAAAGAAGCCTCGAATCGAGTACCAGAACCTCTCGCAGCTGGACGCCGATGAGAAGCTGGGCGACGACGATGACGACGACGAGGGCAACGACTACGAGGACTCCGACTCGGACGATGACTCGGAGGACGACACGGCCGCCCTGCTGGCCGAGCTGAATCGAATCAAGCAGGAGCGGGCGGCGGAGGAGGCGAAACGAGATGAGGAGCGGAAGCTGCAGGAGAACCAGATTCGCATGGAGAACATTCTGTCGGGGAATCCGCTGCTGAACGCGGGCAGCAGCAAGGGCGGCCCGTCGAGCTTCAAGGTGAAGCGACGCTGGGACGACGATGTGGTCTTCAAGAACTGCGCCAAGGGCGAGGGCCAGAACAAGCGGGGCTTCATCAATGACACGCTGCGCTCGGACTTTCACCGCAAGTTTATGGAGAAGTACATCAAGTGAATGTGGGAACGTATTGATGTTCCAAGACCAGCACCACCACCACCACCACCATCAGTCATCACCAACACACTCATCCTCCTCCTTCATTCCCTCAATTCCCTCTTCAACAACTTAACTTCTACTCATCAACAGTTGTTGGACGGTTTATTATTACTAGTGTTTAGTAGGCAGTACTGGAGAGAAAGAGAGAGATCACAGAAATGTACAGAAACACTCAACACACAGAATGGGCAAAAGAAAAGAAAACTGATCGGCAACATTTACCATGCCTCCTCCACCTTGATCTCTGTCTTGACCACTACCTCCGAGGAGGGCTTCTTCCGGGCGACGAAGAAGACGCACTTGTAGGTGTAGGAGAGCATCGAGTGCGGGTTGACGGTGTAGCCGGCCGGGAGGCCCTTCTCCTCCTCCACAAACTCAAAGCCCGAGGCCTCGATCAGCCCGTG